TGGTGGAGCTCGGCAGCACATACAGCATGACACAATTCCGGTAATGACAATAGAAAGTAGAAGAAGAATTGCGCATGCTGCGGGATAGAAAAGGAGACTCTAAAGCAATGAAAAGAAATTACAAATCCGAAAAAAAAAATTTAAAACCTGAACTTTGAATCAAAAATTTATCGAATTACCATAAAATAGGGGTTTAGTTCTAGTTTTCCATCTTCGAGATTAAGGTCGAAATTATTTGAGACTGGCTGAAAGCTCAAGACTGAAAATCGAGGAAAACTGTGAAACAAACGAGCCATCTCGGGGGTTGTATAGTTGTCCGAAGTGGAAACTTGAATGTTTTCAAACTTTTCCATATTGACGTTTCAGCTGTTATTTCTCGTAACTGACAGTAAAATTAATTTCTATGTCGTCAAAATGCTCATGATTGATCTATAAAATTAGCTCCCGCTTTCATTGCAACTTTTATAGATTGTGATCAGCAAATTCTCATAAAGCTAAAGTAAATGCCAGCAAAGACTTCGTGACTAGGTTTATTAGAAGAAGAAGAAGAAGAAAGAACACCTGAATTACTATACAATAAAAGCCGAGGCATCAGTATAGCAAAGTGTAAATAATAAAGTTGGTTAAAATTCATTGGTTACATCAAACAAAAACACAACATCACAAAACAAGCAATAAACAAAACAAAACAAGTTCGGTTACAGTTCAGAAAGTGGTTGATTAAAATATATGAAGTTACGGATACTAAAAAAACATCAGTTTTAAGAATTAAGAACGAGCTGGTATTAAAACATATTACTAGTAAGTTGGTATTATCAACATATTACTAGTAAGTTGAACCAAAATGAAACGTTTGAAAGAAATGAAGCTCAACTATCAGTCGAAAGAGCAGATAAACTTGTTTTCATACAATGCAACGCTGCTTCACTTGATAATACTGATCATAATGATTATTTAGCGGATTTTGAGTTTGTGTAAAAAGAATAGTCTTCAAACTTGGTAGTTTCAAGCAATGTAACATTCGCCCGGAAGTACATATCGACGGAAAATAAAGCTAGGTTCTAAAACGACTGGCTAGCGTCTTCTAAACACAGCTCTACAGGCTTTTCACCGTCTCTGCCAAAGCCAGTTCTTTTGGTGGTCTTTCTATAATCGGGTCGACAAAAAAATGTTACTGTTTCCGGCTTCGATCAGAACGCTCTAATTAACTGAATTACATGCAAAAATAGTGAGCTCATGGCTGGGTCTCAGTATCCCCAGACCACGAGGTCACTCCTAAAAACAGAGCTACTACTTATTTATTATTTTACCATTGTTTTTGTTCAGTAGACAAAAAGCATCATCTCCATCGAAGATGGATCAACCCTTTCCCTCAACTCCTAGCTTCTCATCTGAAAACGAATTTGAATGTTATTATTTTAATTCGTGGCATCTCCAGGAAGCTAAAAGTTTGTTAAAATAATGACTAAGTTCTCTCCCGAGACCCTTCCGGATTCTGGAATCGGGAGAAATAACGTCCTTTTTTTTCCGATGGCTGAACACGTCGTCCAAACACCCTTCCTGGTTATCGTGAATTGTTTTGTAACGATTGTAACTGCATAATCGTTACAACTCGGAATGGTCTTCCAACAATAATTTCAATTGCTATTTCAATTTGTATCGTTCACCTCGTCTATTTCAACGAATATAGTTGTTTTCTCTGGGAAACTTGTTGTTGTTGACAACAGAATTTTCAAAATGCATAAAATCAATTTTATCCACGTTATATCGACTCACTGCAAAATACAGATGGCATCATACTACACTATCATATGCGTCCAACTTCCTTCAATAATCTGCTCTTTCGAGGATATGACTTCACATAAAACATTTTTTCTGACTTCTAACATCTATGTCCCGATTTAAAACTTTTTCTCCTAGGTCCTGCCTACAAACAAACCAAAATTATCCTACTATGCTTCTTCCTTTTGGAAGTTTAGTTGTAATTGGTCCTGAAATTTTAAATTGAGGAACTCGGTGGTTAGAAGGAACAATGAATTAATCTACCTCTCCAAGAGATTACCAAAGCCTTTCATGTCACCACAAAGTGATCAGTCGTCTTATTTGATTGAAAACAATCATGCAGGATTTTTTAATATAGTTTCCACTCAAGCCTTTCTAATTAAAGGGTAAGTGTCTCTGAAGCCACGAACTAAAATCACAATGCAAATTTATATAAACAACAAACTGTTTAATCTTCAAATTTCAACTAAACGTTTTCTCTTCAGTTTCAACTGAAAACTTAGCTGCTTTGTTCTTTATTTGAGTTTTTCTCACACAAAACATTTCTGAGTTTTATCATCTTCTCCTTCGTTGCTTTTTTGTTTCTTTCTTTGTTCATTCTTTGTTTTTGTCGTTTAGAAGTTCTAAAACATCTAAATTTTTCTAATGTTGCTTCTTTTCGCAAATCTTGTTTTTCGGCCATTTGTCAAAGTTCCATCTCCTCGGTAGCTTCTTTTCTGACGCTGTTGGAAGCAGTTCTCCAATACTTTTGCTCTTCTACTCTTTATTTACAACAAGGTAGAGCATCAACGTTAGTTTCTCTGTTTCGGCAGAAGCTGTTGTGGAGGCACAACGTCACGCTTCTCTCCAAGTCTTCCTTCAACATCTCTTTTTTCCCCTACCGTCGCATTCACTTGTTCTAGAAGTTCTCTTCACTGCGGTGGTTACTGTATTCCGATGAGTTATAAAAGCTCGCTTAAAAGCTCCTGCTCCAATGTCCAGCACTGTACACTCTGCTTTGCTTCGACATATGTTTCTTGGCATGCTCGTACAACCATGCAGTCATATTGGCTCTGAACCATGGCATCAGCCGTCTTCTGGCCCATATCTTTTTAACTTCTATCGAAATGTTCAAGATTTTGCACGTTGTCTGAAAAAGATCTAAATCTTTTGGACAATCCAATTCCTGCAATTGCTTATTCGTAGGCGTTTCTTGTCTATTGTTCTCTTTTAGATGAGCTTTCAGCCACCGTATCGCCATCATAACTTCCACTATCACTATCGTTATGGGCTGTAATGAATCCGGTAAACCCATGGAGAGCAGTTCTCTACAGTCCCAGATCAACACCAGATTATTACGCCCGGGATACCACCATGTTTGTAGCATGCAATGGCAGGGGAACTCATCATGTGTCAACATGATGCTCCTCCCTCCAATTACGCTTTCCCGAAGCTTCCAGTGGTGGTTCCACTTCCATCATCACTCGGCGGACTTCATCATTCTCATCTACTGCATTGTAATCTGTGACTGTTGACCCTTTCTGCGTCTGTCTTTCAAAGTCACTGAAGTTCCAACTGGCGTACCGCATGAACTTCTTTCCCAGTATCGATTCTAATTTTTCTTTGGTTCTCTCATTTTTGCGCTTTTTTCTGTTTCAAAAAATATAGTTATCTACAAAGACGCGATTTGTGGGGGGATCAAAGTATCGCTATTTTGACCCTAAAAACCGGCCTGCTTACTGTGTTTTTCACTGAAAAACGGTATAGGTGTTTTAATATAGGCTGTATAAATAGTAATACTACTAATATTATACCACTCCGGGTTTGCTCAATACCCGAAATAAGGTGCTTAACTCGGAAACTCGCAATTCGGTGGAGGGTCACTACAGTGCAGTCACTGTCGAGCCCCCCATAGATTAATATCTTACTTTTTGTACCAAAAGGTACACAAAATTTGTTAATGATACCCAACAGTCGATTGTTGTTGTCAATGAGCCCCTTCTTGTCGCTCCTTGCACTGCTTGTTGGATCAGTCTTCTTCACTAATCCCGAGACCCCTCCGGATTGAGCGCAAATTAGCATTAATGTGCATAAATACTCAAATAACCCTATAGTACAAGCACCACAAACGGGCTACAAAAATGATCGTAACGACCCTGATTGATATAAATGCCTGTAACAACAATATATCTATCAGCAACAAACGGGAGGGTTGGACCACATCTCGTCTGAGGGGACGATTTCTACTGATTTTATACTTTTTTTTTCTGTTTTTGGTTTTTTCGGTTATTTTTTATTGTTTTTTGTGTCTCTTAGGTTCTATACTACTTTTTGTTTAGTTTCCTGTATGTCTTTAAGTGATTTTGGTCACAAACCTTTTAGGTAACGACGGGATGGCCAATCCCCCCACCCTTCCTGGTATGTGATTTTTTGGTTTTAACTAGGTTAAAAAGCTATTCACGGGAATCCGGAAGGCTTCTGCGTTCCGAACTACCCTTCCACCCCGGTGGTTAGGGCCTCGTTGTGAGCATCCGCTCGGCGTGCAGAGCTCGTTAAGGGTTCTGTCGGTCATGATGATAAAAAAGAAAAACATCCAGGAGAGCCATAAAAACATCTATGTAACATTCGCCCGGAAGTACATATCGACGAAAAAAAAGCATGATCTGAAAACAAATTTGAATGTTACTATTTTAATTCAGGACATCTCCAGGAAGCTGAAAATTTGTAAAAATAATGTTTAAGTTCTCTCCCGAGACCATTCCGGATTCTGGAATCGGGAGAAATAACGTCCTTATTTCTTTCCGGAAGGCTGAACACGTCGTCCCAACACACTTCCTGGTTCTCGTGAATTGCTTTGTAACGACTGTAACTGCACAATCGTTACAACTCGGAATGGTCTTCCAACAATAATTTCAAATGCTATTTCAATTTAAATTGTTCACCTCCTCTATTTCAACGAATATAGTTGTTTTCTCTGAGAAACTTGTTGTTGTTGTGTTTTTCGCCACTTCTGTTGGTGCGAAATCTCAAGGTCTTGACGTGTCTTTATTTCGAAACGAATTTTTAAAAATTATTATGAAACTCCAAATTAACCCTTCCGAGTTCGTCAAAATGAACGATTAAGACGTCTAATTGATTAAAACCATCAATCTTCTCAGTCAGATGCATCAATAAAATTTCGTAAGCGAACTTGCATTTTGACACATTCTAGTCGAATGTCACACAAATTCTGAGTTTTTGAAACTTGCTAGTAAAAAAAAGTAAGCTACTAATAGAAAACAGGTAATTGAATAGTAACTAACTAGTAAACAAATTTTACTTAGTAGTAACTGCACAACCCTATTCGTGACATTTGCAGTGTCGAAAAACTTTAGCAAAAAAAGTAATTTTGTCGTCTTTCTGAAATGACTTATTTTTGTAACAAGAGTCATCTAACTAATATATACGGTGGGTCGTTCCTTCTTAATTGCTCTCGCTCTGCCAAAAATTAAAAGAAATACCTGGATAAAATCGAGGTGCTAGGAAATAAAGCAGGCCGGCTTAAAAGCATACCAAATTTTAAGCAGGCTCAGAATAATTATCGAGTCAGAACGCCTACTTCAAACAAGGGATTTGAGATTAGTGACATAACATCGTGTTTAGCGAGCGTCTTAGGGAAGGCCAGCGCGCTGAGCGGATGCTCACACAGGCTTTTAACCGGTAGCCAGAAGGGTTCACCAAAACGCGAAAGCCTTCTGAATTCCCTGATCTAAGTTTAAGCCTTGTTAAAACCGAAAACTCCCGAATACTCATAGGCGAGATTTGCCGTCCCCAAGGCCAAATACAACTAA